AATAATAATAATAATAATAATAATAATAATAATAATAATAATAATAATTCAATGTTAGACTGCAGTAATAAAAGTATGCTTTCCAAATTATGGGAAATATTAGTTCTACTTTATTCTGAAATTGTTGGCTACCATCTTGAGTACTTGTCCCATTCTGGACACTGTGTTTTATGAAAGATGTTGAAAAGCTGGAACAGATATAGAGAAGATCAAGAAGGATGGTCAGCAGACTGAGATTTACGGAGCTGGGCGTGTTTTGCCTTAACAACAGGACTTCTGAAATGCCTGAAGGGATGTTGCATAGATAAATTATTTAAGTGATAACGATTATTATTAGCCTCAACCTCTTTTTTATCATCCAGCACAGGACCTGGAATGCCAATCCTGAAGTTTCAGGAAGGATGATCTAATTGAATGCTGGGAAAATATACAAGAGCATTTTGGTAAGAGAACCATTTCCCCAGACATCGGATGGACTTCCCTTCACTGAATGTGTTCAGACAGAGGATGGACAGCCATCCCTGTGGGATGCTTGATGTGGGACTCCTTCACTGAACTTGACAGCCTCGTTTAATAGTATCATCCTATGATTCTCTCTTTTATAAAATGAGATACAAAACAGGTGGGGAAGGAAAGTTGGGTTAGCTGAGAAGGTGCCTAAACCCTAAATTAGCAAACAGTGGTGAAAACCATCTCCTCCTCCCTCTAACCTGAGGAGTTGGTGAAGAACAACATTGTGCCAGTGTGGTGAGGTGGTGAAGGTGTTGAGACCCCAGTTCTAGTCCTCCCTCATCCACAAAAGCTTCCTGGGGGAATTTGGGCCAGCCCCTTCCTCTCAGCCCCAGAGCCAGGGTGGTGTAGTGGGGAAGATGCTGCGCTAGGAGTAGGGAGACCCAGGTTCTAGATCTCCCTCAGCCATGGAAACTCACTTTGGGCAGGTCTGGTTTTCTCCCAGTCCAACCTACCCCATAGGAGTGTTGCTATGGAGGAAAATTGGTGGAGGGAGTGCTACATAGGGGGATTAATCTAACACATAAACAAAACAGTGAACAAAAGTGGACTCTGACTTCTAATAATGCAACTGCATTATTTGTAACTATGAATGAAGCTCATTCCTCTTATGGAACTGAGTATTTGAATCTTAGGATCCTAAAGTCAGAAGGGGCCTTGAAGGTCATCCTGTCCACCATCCTGTCCAAGGTAGGAATCCAAATTAAAGCATTCCTGATAACTTTATATCCAACCTTTGCTTGAACACACCCAGAAATGGCAAGCCCTCCATTTCCTTTGATAACTGGTTCCACTATCAAACTGACCTGTTAAGACATTTTCTAATCCCTTTTTCCTTGAACAGCCAACTGAGCTTCTGCTTCCACCTCTCCCAAACTTTGGGGAATGGGGCAGCAGCAATGGAAGGCATGATAGAAGAGAAATAGGACATTGAATTTGAGTCCGTCATAGATCAAGGGGCTGGACCTACTCTGAGTGGGGCTTTTCTCACAGAGGTTTGCTCCATCCCCCAGTGACAAGCACCATGGCAGGTCCAGACCTGTTTTGGCTTGGAGGAGACCTTGACTTATGTGGATCAACACCCATCTGTTCAGATGGAAATGAAAATCACTGCCCATAGCCATTCAGTTGGGGAGGTGCCATCGCCGTTGACAAAAAGGAACAGCACCAGGAGCAACATTTCTTGCCCAGTTATCTCCTCTGCACTTTGACATGTGCTTTGCTCCTTTCTTCTGCCTTTTGGGTACAAACAGTTTGGATCTGAGCAGTCACCTAGCCCATAAGCACAGAAGTCCACGTTTTAGGTGTATCTACCAAACTGCAGATGTACACTCTGATGATAGATGGCAGCGTGGGACAATCAATGGTATCAGAGAAAGTTCCAAATCTGTTCGTTCTGGGCTATGACTGATCTTTGATCATAACAATAACTTTGATTTGAGAGTTCTGGGCTCAAAACATTCTGAGCTTGAAATGATTGTTTATGAGTGTCAGGAGGTCAGGAAAGAAAAGAAAAAAAAACCCCAAAACCCTGTGCTCTAGACCTTTGTTCCACATGTTTCATTTCCTGATTTTCCACCCCCCCCCCAAATACACACCTTTGATGGAATGCTCAGAAGATCTTAAATTTCTCCCACTTGAAGCCCACCCACTCAAAACACAACCCCTGTTTTGGTTTAGGCACACTGCATCTGAATGGAAAAGCTTCAAATCTCCTTCTGATGTGTGGGGCGGGGGGGGGGGG